GTGCATCAGCTGCAGGAGGATGTCTGCCGCCCCGGAGGGGCTCTCCGGGCGGGTGGGGGGCTGCGCTGCCGGCCGAAGCTCCTCCCGAGCCAGCGATCCGTGAGCGGCTCCGCGGGAGCAGGGGGGCAGCAGCATGCCGGGGGGCTCGGAGCCCTTTCCCAAGGGAGCGCCGTGGGTGTCCGGCTCCTCCGGGTGCGCCGGGCAGGTCCCCTCGCAGCAGGAGGGCGGGATGCCGCCGGCGTGCGTCCTGCGGTGCCGGAGGAGGTGAGCCTTCTGGCTGAAGCCCTTCCCGCACTCAGCGCAGCGGAACGGCCTCTCGCCGGTGTGGGTCCTCTGGTGAACGGCCAGATTCACCTTCTGCCGGAATCGCTTCCCGCACTCGGCGCAGGCGTGCGGCCGCTCCCCGGCGTGGCCCTGCCGGTGCAGCTGCAGCTCCCCGTGCTCCTCGAAGGTCTCCCCGCAGAGGGAGCAGGGATAGGGGCTCCCGGGGTGGCTCTGCAGGCCGGCGGCCTGGCCCGGCTCGCTCTGGGGTCTCTCCGCCGTGTGCACGCGCTGGTGGACGCGCAGGGAGAGTTTGCTCTTGAAGCGCTTGGGACACTCCAGGCAGGTGAAGGGCTGCCGGCCGGTGTGCGTCTTCTGGTGGGCGATGAGGTTGGGCTTCTGGGCGAAGCGCTTGCCGCACTGGGCGCAGGCGAAGGGGCGCTCGCCGGTGTGGGTGCGGTAGTGGGTGACCAGGTTCCCCTTCTGGTTGAAGCGGCGGCCGCAGACGCCGCAGGTGAAGGGCCGCTCGCCGGTGTGGATGCGCTGGTGGGTCACCAGGTTGGTCTTCAGGCTGAACCTCTTGCCGCAGACGTCGCAGCGGTAGGGCCCTCTGCCCCGGTGGTTTTGCCGGTGCTTTACCAAGCGCTCGTACTGGGCGAAGCTTCTCCCACACTCAGGGCAGACCCAGGCTCTCCCCTCCGCCTGCTTCTCCTGCGCAGCTTTGGGGGAGAGCTCGTCACCGGAGCTCTTCTCGTGCTCAGGGCACGGGTAGGGCTTCTGGCCGGCGTGGGTCTTCTGGTGGGCCACGAGGGAGAGCCAGAGGCCGAAGCTGTTGCCACACTGGTTACAGATGAAGGGCTTCTCCGCGCCGGCGGCCGGGGGAGCCGGGGCGGTCGCATCCCCCAGGACCGGCTGCACCCCGAGGTGCCCCAGGAGGTGCGGGCTGTGGGTGAAGGCCGCCGCGCACCCGCCAGGAGCCTCGGCGGTGGGGCCATGCTGCGGCCGGAGCAGAGTCACCTTCTGGCAAAAGCCCTCCCCGCACTGGACGCAGGGGAAGGCCTGCTCGCCCAGGGGGGCTTGCTGGGGCGGCAGGAGCGGCTCCTTCGGGGGAAAGCTCTTCTCCGAGCACGAGTACAGCTCTTGGCCCTCGGGGATCTTCTGAACGGGCAGCGGCGGCATGGGGCTGAAGGGGGGCTCTTGCTCGGGACCCCCGGGCTGCAGCAGGGTGGGCGCAGCCCCGTAGGGCAGGCTGGCGGCAGGGCTGCGGCCCGGGCAGCGGCGCTGGCGCGGGGCGTGGGTCTTCTGGTGGGCTTTGAGGGAGACCTTGTCCTTGAAGCACTTCTGGCACTGCCCGCAGGGGTAGGGACGGAGGTCCGTGTGGGTGCTCTGGTGCGTCACCAGGTTGGTCTTCTGGGTGAAGCGCTTGCCGCACTGGGTGCAGGCGAAGGGGCGCTCCCCGGTGTGCACCCGGTAGTGGGTGACCAGGTTGGTCTTCTGGTTGAAGCTCCTGCCGCAGAGGAAGCAGGTGAAGGGCCGCTCGCCGGTGTGGATCCTCCGGTGGGTGATGAGGTTGGGCTTCTGCCTGAAGCTCTTCCCGCACTCGGGGCAGACGAAGGGGGTGTCCTCCTGGTAACTCCGCTGCTGCGATCGCAGCTTCGGCTTGCCGGAAGCGCCGTCCTCCTGCTCGCCCCCCGCCAGCGCCTTCTCCCCGGCGGCGTGGATGCGCTGGTGGGCCAGGAGGTTGGCTTTCTGGCTGAAGCTCTTGCCGCACTGGGCGCAGGGGAAGGGGCGCTCCCCGGTGTGCACCCGCCGGTGGGTCAGGAGGTTGGGCCGCTGGCTGAAGCTCTTCCCGCAGTCCCCGCACCTGTAGGGTTTCTCTCCGGTGTGGATCCTTTCGTGCGTGATGAGGCTTTGCTTCTGCCGGAAACCTTTCCCGCACTGGGCGCAGCGGAAAGGGCCGGCGCCGAGCTGCGGCACCCAGCAGGCCACCCGGCTGGAGAGCGGGCTGAGGCCGGCGGCGCCATCTCTCTCCATGCCCGCCCGCTCGGGCGCACGCTGCCCACCGTGAAACCAGCGGCTGGAACTGCTGGCGGCGGCGGGATACAGCTCCAGGGAGCCGGCAGCTCCCCCCGGCTTCTCCTCGGGCTGCTCCACTTTATTCACTCGACCGGGCTCAACTGGATTTCAAAAAGATTCGAGCCGTTAATGTCAGAGTCTCTCACAGAATCACAGAATATCTCAAGTTGGAAAGGACCCATGAGGACCATCGAGTCCAACTCCCTGCTCCTCCCAGGGCTACCTAAAACTAAATCACTGCGGTTTATCGCAGCCTGAAGAATCAGCGGGATCAGAGCCCTGCCCAGAGCCCGCCCCACCCCTGACTCACCGAAAGTGGCGCTGGCGGCAGCAGCGATAGCAAAAACTTGCCATTAAGTGGCCTGAAATGGCTGCAAACTGGCCCAAAATGGCCGCAAACTGGCCTGAAACAGCCGCAAACTGGCCCGAAATGGCTGCAAACTGGCCTGAAACAGCCACAAACTGGCCCCAAATGGCTGCAAACTGGCCCCAAATGGCCTTTGCCCACAAGAGGAACATCCCCCGCCAGAGCCGGGTTTCCCACTGCCTCCGGCAGGGCACGCGGAGCACCTACCCGCGCAGGGGCTCACGAGGATCTTGCTCTCCTCCTGCATTTGCTGGCCTTCAGTGTACGGCTCCTCCGACTGTTTGATACCGAACAAACCACCGGGCTTGAAAAATCTGTAGCCTGGTTGAAGGGATAAGAGCTGGTCACCGTGAACTGTGTCACGCTGCAAAACACGCGTTCGGCATAGACATCGTTACGCGGGAGATGCCTGCGTTAATTCACAAATAAGCTAAAATTAACGAAGCCTGGGGGCATCGCTTTCATCTATTTTAAGCTTCTGCTGTCTGAAGTGTAATTAAAGATAAAAGGCAACACCAGCACCAGGCTCCCTCCTGCCGGCAAGGCGAAAGGTGGGAAGGAGCGCCGTTCCTCGGAAAAACGACTCTTCCCGCAGCCTTTGGCGGGCTCACCCGCGCACCCCTCGATCCCGCCCAACGCTTTGATCATCCCGTTTCAAAGGCTACCGCAAAAATGCCATTAATTCCAACCCGCGCCTCCCAAGCAGACGAGAAGGCTCCATCTTTAGGAGAGGAGCTGGGCCAGCAGAGCGATGGCCTCCAGCTTCGGGCTGGGGATTCCTCCCAGTGATGCCTCATTTGCATACATTTACATACGATCTTTGTGTCACCCCCTGCATCCCCCCACTCCGGTCAAGAGGAGACTTGCCGGCAGTCAGTCGGACTTGGTGTAACCGCAGGACCGCCTGTACTCTGGAGAATGCACGAGTGCATCCACATCCCCCCTCCCACACCGGCGCTGCCTGCCCGGCGCGGTGCCGCCCGCTCGCCGGCGCTCACCTGTGCAGGGGTCGGACGGGATCTCCGCGCCGACAGCATCCAGCTCGTGTCCGGCTCTCGGCACCTCGCTCAGCCTGGGGTAAGGGAGCAGGTTCAGGGCGTGGGCAGCCTGGTCCGGGAGAGAGGAGAAGCGTTTCAGCGGATCACCATCACTTTTTTTGGGTTTGGTTCTTTGGGTTTTTCGGCCAGCAGGAGCAGGGCAGGGATCGTCCCCCTGTGCTGGGCACTGGGGAGGCCGCCCCTCGAATGCTGTGCTCAGCGCTGGGCCCCTCACCCCAAGGCGGCCATGGAGGGGCTGGAGCGTGGCCAGAGCAGGGCAGCGAGGCTGGGGCAGGGGCTGGAGCCCAAGGCTGGGGAGGAGCGGCTGGGGGAGCTGGGGGGGCTCAGCCTGGAGAAGAGGAGGCTGAGGGGAGCCCTCATCGCTCTCTGCAACTGCCTGAAAGGAGGCTGGAG